GGTCCCCCCTCCTCCTCGAGGACAGATGCACACGCAGGCACACTCAGCAGGTCTCTGGTTTCTCTGTCAGCCTGTCTCTCTCTTTTGGAACAAGACTTAAAGGCATTTAATTCCAACACTGTGTATCAAGAAGACAATCTGTTTAAAACCAGAGGTAGTTACAAAATTCCTAATCTAATTCAACATTGTTTAGAATATACTATATTTATTTACTTATATTTAATTCAATATTCACTTTTTTGGGGGGGTCACAAGGTCACATATTTCCCATCATATGATATATGTGACATGTCTGGGGGGAGGTCAAGAGGTCACATAGTTCCCATGGGGGGAGGGGGTTTGATATCAATTAATCCATCAAACTCCAATTAAAATTTGACAGAAGGTGGTATATATAGTCTCTCTGGTAAAGCACCAAACCAACAATAGTTTCTGAAAAATTTCAACTCACAACCATGACAATTGGATCAGATAGTTTCCTTTAACCATGGAAACTTTCTAGATGTGTTCAAAGCACCAATGTCCCAGTTACAAAAGTTTGACTCCAGGTAGGATTTTTCAAATAACTACAGAAAAAAACTCCAGTGACAAATTTATTTCTTTGGTTCAGATCAATCAGAAAGGTCAGTTTCAGTAGCGGTTGCATTCATCACTGTAGCCTCCACTTTAGAGGTGCCGCTAGTGTAATGAGATTTGGTGGCGTTGGCCATTGGTGCATCTAAGGATTTCAGCATGAACTTGTTGGTTGGTTCATTAAATCCAGCTTCCTCAAAGTTACCTGAAAAAAAAAATGCAGAGTATTTATTGGGCCAACTTAGACTCAGGAAGGCGTTAAGATAGTACCCGTCAGTCCAGTTTCAGATTCCGGATTCCCCAGATCTGGAAGACATATCATTGCATCAAGAGTTATGTTTTTTAAATATTTACCATCTTAAACTCACCAGTTTTGTAGATTCCACTTCTCCAGTGGCTGCCATACAGCATTGGTCTGTAAAGTTTCTGGACGACACTAGGCAGCTCCTCAAAAGGAAGATGGCCACTTTTACCTGATGGCAGTATAGTTAGGGGACCCACTCTGGCCTCTTGCTCCCACAGAGCTGAAAAATTAGGTTTTGTCAGAAACCATTTAGTCAATGCAAACAGGCATGAGGGAGAAAGTCTTTACCCTTTTTAGTCTTCAGCCCACTCCGCCACATGTATTCAGCAGCAGCCACCTTCCCAAAACCACGAGGACCAACCATGCCAGACTTGCCTGAGACTTTATTTAGGGCTTTGCAATATCCACACAAATAGTCGTTTCCATCAGCTGACCTCCATCTGAGGAGAAGATTCAGTCTCATTCATGTCATACTGCCAACTCATTTACCAATTTCACTCACCTTCCATTCAGGAAAGTGCAGGCCTTGTTTGGCGATTCGGCATCATTTACTGGCACAGCAGTTAGGTGGCATGTGATGTAGAGCTAAAGAGAAAGAGTGAGAACTAATCTTAAGATGTGTGCCAAGGTAGAGGAACACATCCTCACCTGTCCTCGGTCGTCGTTGTGGAACTTGAAGGCATCAATGGTCAACTGCAGCTTGTCATCTCTGGTCCTGGGCAAGAACTGTGCCTTCGAGTTTGGAAGCTGAGAGTCAACCAAGCATCTAGAAAGACAAAGGAGGTCCAGACACCATGTATTGATGGGTATATGTTTAGTAAACTCACTTTAGTTATGCAAGAGCAGGTACTTTGAAACTCTTCAGTTTCTCACCCATTTTCAATGAAGATGTATTTGGGATCAGAGTTTAGAGCTGGTTGAAGTGTGGCCACACAGCTGCTCAGAAACACCCTGAGACCCATGTGGTGAGCAATCCTCACGGAGGCCTCAAGGTTGATTGGCTCACCGAGGAAAAACACATTGGCACCCCTTTCATACATCCAGTTATCTGGAGAAAACATGGGGGATGAGCTGGAATTAAGCCTGAGAGCTGAGGGAAGAACTGAACGCACCATTCATTAGCTTCAAGCTAAAGTACAGAGTTTCCACTCCAGCTTGGATAGACGTGAAGGGAATCCATGTCGGCATGAGTGAAGAGCTGGATACACCATACTTCCTATAGAAGCAGATACTTTACAGGTAAAAACCAGCTTTTCAATAATTTAAAAGTTCAATAGGAAACAAGAGACAGACCTTTCATAATGGCATTCAACTGGGATTACCGCCTCATCCATGTGAACTACCCCACTAGGGGACGCCAGAGGAGAGTAAAAGAGGAGGTTTGCGTAGACAAGGGAGTCCTTAGTCATCTGGAAGAGCAGCAAATTTAGAAACAGGATGTACATGGTGAAATAACCAGCAGGAGAGCAGGTCGAGTTACCCAGTGTTTGGTGCCACAGTCATCCAGCCCAACAACAATCCTGTATTCCTCTGCAGAAGTAGCTGTAGCTCTGCAGAACTCATTGTCCTCCACACCAAGACGCAGCTCCCGACTGTCCACCGGAGCGCCAACTGCAAACATATCAGCAGCAATTACCACTTCTACAGAGTCAGGGTGGCAGACCACACCGACAGTGTTGACGAGCTCTGGCTGGTGCTGCTCCTGCTGAACCACGGGAAGAGTCTGCTGCGGCCGAGGTCTGGGAAGAGAAGGATACGGCGCGTACAGGGAGGATTTAAGAGCCAGAGCTAAATGAGGGCAGACTCCAGAAAACATGACCCCTAAAAGGAGGTTCCACCAGAGCCAAAACATATCCATGAGGACCGCCAACCAGTTTGGCAAACAGGTTCAGACTGCAAGTCCTACTGACTGACCCACAAGACGGTGAACCAAGCAGCGCAGTGTTGATGTTTAAATCACAGCTGAGCACACCTGCGCCGAATTACTCCTAATTAGCTGCTTCCACGCTTAACACGCTTCTTTCTGACCCAGACTTACTTTAAAAACGGAAAATGTTCACATCCTTTGTTAAGGTTTGAAGATATATAGGAAAAAATGAATTTCTGATTTACATCTCCGTCCAGTTGATGGCGGTAATACATAAAGTATGTAAACTTCCTGAAAACGCTTCTTCTTGAAGAAGAAGAAGAATCCTTTAAGTCGTTTAAGACCATGTGCACAGAATGACCATGTTAGAATAGTAACGAGAAGGTAGATAAAATGATAAAATAAGCAAATAAAAGAGAAAATGTAGATATCAAGTTAAACAAATCAAAATCTAAAGGCAAAGTATATTTTGGATCAAAGTGATAAAACAGTAGCAACATCAGCAGAATAATGGACCAAAACGTCTGTACAACATTCAGAGTCAAACCAAGGAGCGAGTAGGAGAGAAATTATTGTATTCTGAATACAATAAGAATTTCTCACTGAAACTTGAATTGAATTCTCTCATGTGGAAAACATGAAAATCAAACCAGGATAATGTTAATGAGATTATGGAGCACTGGGGAACCAAGTTTTAAGGATATATTTATTTATTTATTTATTTTTTTGCAGAATCCCGTTGTTTTTAAATATGTATCAGAAGTGTGTTGAAAGTTTGAACCAGGAGGTGGCAGTAATGCATCAGTTTGGATACCAAGTTTGAACCTAATTTTCCACACTTAAATTAACTTACAAACAAAACAGGGCCAGTCCAAGGTACAAGCAGGATGGTTCCCCAGCTGGAAGGGAATTACCTTTCTATTTGTTTGGGGAAGTCAGAAATACAAAACTATGCTTTTTGTATTTTCTCCAGTAGAAGTAGTTTCTTGAACTCTGTGGTTTCCCACCCTGTTCCTGTGCATCATTTCAGACCTTTCATCTGCTGCCTCGCTGTGTGCAGACCAACCACTGTGTTCTAACAGCTGCTCTTGCTTTGAGGCCGTCTTCCTGTTCCTGTTCCTGTTCAGGCTGAGGAACGATGGAAACCAGAGGGTGGTCCCAAACGTCTCGCAGCAGAAAGCAGAGCGGGGAACGACTACGTTATAACCCAACTCTAGAATATTTGTCAGATTTTCTTCAAACACAAACACCATGAAGACACGTCTACAGTTTCTTCTCCTCTTTATTCAGCTCTTTGAAGGTAAGGTGATTTCCACTTCACAGAAACACTCAGTAAAAATGTTTCATAACAAAGTTTATGACTTACAAAATTAATTACATCTGCTTTTTTATATTTTAATTAAAAAAAACAGCATGTAAAAAGTTTTTTACATCCCTCTCAATAATCAAGTGTTTTGACTCCAGCAATGAAGTGCTTATCATGATTATACATAAAAGACCCTAACATTTTCATTCAATCTTTTTTCTTAGTAGTTCAAGTTCAGTCAGATTAGATGAAAAGCAACAGTAAAGAGCAATTTTCACAGATTCCCTTATTGATTCAGTACTGGATTTGACTAGGCCATTTTAACACCTGAAGCTGCTTTGATTTAAACTGTAACTCCAGCTGTATCTTCAGAGTCAATGACCTTCTGGAAGGTGAACCTCTATCCCAAGTTGTCTTCCAGGATTGTCCTGCTCTTCTCTCCATCCTGTCCATCTCCTCTGTCCCTTCAATGCACAGTATTAATTTTCTGCTACCTATGTATATTGACATGACTTTCCAGCAACAAATTTTGGAACCATGACCTAAATTAATTCATGAACTAACCTGTTTGTATTTTACCAGCAGCTGACACTTGTTACTTTTTCTCCCAGCCTGTGCAGAGGTGATCTTTCAGCGGCTGACAGAGGACCGGTCTCTGGTTCTCTCCTGCACCCCTCAGCAGGAACGGGGTCACCTGGTGGGACTCCATCTGTACCACCGCGGCCCCCGGAGCCAGACCACCCTGCTCTCTGTGGCCGAGGGCAGCACGGTCAGGAGGGACCCAGAGCGCAGGGCCCGTCTGCAGCTCAGCGGGGGGCTGAACTCGCCAAGGATCAACGTTAGCATCTCCCACCTGCAGCTGAGTGATACGGGACTTTACATGTGGGAGCTGAGTTACAGACAGAAGAACAGCTCAGATCAGGTCGTCCTCGGTGCACAGAGGTACTTCCTGCTGGTGGAAGGTGTGTAGCTCACTGTAGCATAAATTAAATAGGTTGACAGATTTATTTTAATAATGTGTTTCTGGTTCAGGGAGGTCATGTGGGTGCTCTCATGGTTACATCCCTCTGCTCCTCACCATCTCTGCAGCAGCAGGCCTTCTCCTGCTGACAGTGAGCTTATTGGCCATGGAGAAATGTGTGAGTAGTTATTTTATTCCTTCCATATGCAGATTTATCAAATAGATTTTCTCTCCGATCTGTTTTCCCGACATAAATCTCTACAGTTGCTGTTTAAAGGAGTAATAACTGAAAATGAAAATCATTATTTAGGCCATCTGCTTATTTAGAGCAGCTATGATGAATGGTTGTAATGTAATAAATCATTCTTAGATCATCACAAAATAAATAAAAAATCAACAATCCTAATATATTTTATTTCCAGAAAATGCTAAGCAATCAAAAATGTGCAATGTTTTTATACAGAAAATGTATTTTTAACTATTGAAGTTTGGTTGATAGAACAAATTGTTCATATATTCTTGATTTTTGTTCCTTTTGGCTGCAACGTCTTTAACAAAACGTGATGCTTATTTCATCTCAGAAATGATTCTTCACTTTTCCCAAATGTTGACATTGAGAAAAAACCAACATAAGCAAAATAAAACAATTTGAATAGCACTTCAGTTGCAAAACCTCTATAATTCCTGAGTAAGGAGAAGTTATCCTGTTTTGTTTCCTGGTGGACGACAGCAGATTTTCAGAAGCTCAATCTCAGTCTGATCTGACCTAACACGATTAAGTTTTCGTTAGTGATGGTAGGAGAGAACAGGCTTCTTTCTGGCATATCTTTCAAGCAGCTCGATGGTATATAGACAGTTTCTGAAAATATAATCGTTTTGCAGGTAAGATTAAGGCATCATCGCCCACCGCAGCCTCATTCACCCATCTATGAGGAAATGAGCAGGAAGCAGCAGAGCGCAGGAAGCCCCAGAATAACCCACGAGGCCTCCCCGCAACCGGAGGAAGTCCGCTTCCCAGTTTACGCCAACCCAAGCATCCGGCAGCCGCAGGACAACTACTACGCCTGTCCCCGACAGCTGGCCGTCAGAGTGTGAACTTCGGCATCACGCCGACACGATCAATAAAAACAAGGACAGCCAAACGGACAAGAAAAAAAAATGCTATTTTATTAATATTTGAAAGAAGCTCCATAGTTCATGAAAACATTTGTTTCGGTGCATGTCATTTAACAATCACATTCTATGAGGAGAAAGATATACAGAGAAAACAAAAATAAAACATTACAAGCCACTGACTTCTCATTAACTCTCAGTAACAACATTTTGACTTATTCAAAAAAAAAGGCAAAAAAAAAAAAAAAAAGCAGCCCTAATCCCACCTCCCACCCTCCATAACACAAAACTGAGGAAAGGAAACAAAGATCAGAAACCCGTGAGGGTGACAGGCTAGAATCCCACAGTGCTAAAGTGTGAGATGCTCATTGGTTTAGGAATACACAGCATGGCGATGTAGCGCTAGGTCAATCTGAAGAGGGACCAGGGAGGGCGGGGGAGAAGCTGGAGGTGGTGGGCTTCACCCCGCCCATCCGTTTGTCCCCTTAGAGAACAACTAAAACACATAAAAAAAACACATCAGAACCCCTGCAATAAAACAGCCACTTAGAAGAAGCGGGCCATAAAATCCCCCCCGACCCCCGTTTACCTTCTGCCCCGCCCGACACTTGTGCATAGATTCATGATCCTTTTACAACCAGCTCATGTTTCACATTACATCCTTCAAAAAGATCTGAAACAAAAATGCTCCAAAACAAGTCTGATTAATCTATTAATAATAATAACAATAATAATACCCGCAGCGGGAGAACGAGAGAGACAGAAAGATTAATGCACAATGTTCCTGATTCAGTCAGGACGGGACCTCATTAAGAAAAACACAACAAAGATTCAAACATACAGCATTTGCATGTTATTCACTGTAATTTTTTTTGTCTTTTCTTTTTAAACAAACTCATTGACCACTTTTGTTTTTAAAAGTAAAGCAATTTTAATATATAGATTTATATTATAAAGCACTCCATTTTTGTTTAAAAGTCCATTATTTGGTTATTATGTAACTGCTACGGATTTAGAAACAAAAAAAAAGGTATTTTCTTCTGAAATCCATAACTTTCAGTGCTTAAAATTCTGTCATTTTTTTCTTCTTTTTTTTTAAACTCATCATACATAAAAATGTACATTAAAATGGCGTGGAGTTGGTACTCTGGAACCCTGGCTTTCCTGAGACAAGATCCACTTTAATCGTGTGTGTGCAAGATAGTGAGCCTTTTTTTTTTCCTTTTCTTTTTCTACAAAGGAAAAAAAAAACATAATACATAATCGACATAAAAAAAAAAGATAAGTTCATGAAATCGACATCAACACAAAAGGAAGAAGGTTAACAGAACAAGACAACACTGTTCAATCCCAGAGTTCTGAAAGTAGCACAGGAAATCTTCATTTGTGTAAAGTGTTTTTTTTTTTCTTTCTTAAAATGGAAGCATTTCTCCTTTTGCTTTCTTCTTCCAACATTCGTGTGGTTTGATTCCTCCTTTGTTTTGCTGAAGAAATAAAACTGTAAACTGTCAGTGGCCTTGCAGGAAAAAGGGAAACAAAAGATGACAGGACTTAAAACAAAATAAAATAAAATAAAAACAGAAAGGTAGGCACCTCTGAGGTGAGCCCTAGAAGCCAAGGCTCGGTCTGATGTCTCGTTCTTCACTCTCCGTTTGCTCAGATTCGGGAGAGTTAAAAGTCCCTCTACCTCCGATCTATGGCCA